CGCAGACCGGCCTCTACGGAATCCACATGCAGGATGATCATCCCCGCCCGTCGCCGCATGGCATGTTCAGCCCCGCTATGGCTAAAGACGAACGGATGGGGGAAGAAGGAAGCAATCTTGTTCATGGCAACGCTAGAGAGGGACTGTCGGTGCTCTAAAACACTCTTAATCTTGCAGATGTGCCTCTGCACGTCCATGGGGATACCTAAATCGTGCACCTCCAGATCAGAGCCAGATTGAGCCTCATCTGCGGAATCATACCCGGCCGCACGTTCATTCAGGGGCACTGCCTCGATGGCACCTTCGGGAATGTCGGCGCCTTGCTCACCATCGACATGGATGGTCCCTACGGTGGACGCCGAACCTGGGTTGCCGGAAACACTGGTTTTTCCGGAGGAACGGGAGCCAGAATTGGAGGAGGAATCAGAGCCGGAGCCCGAAGAACCAGAACTCGAACTTGAAGAGATCTCCATCGAAGTCATCACTAAAAGAAAGGGCAAGGATGAAGAGGAATAATTACCTTTAAAAAACTGGAAGATGGACTCGGGAAGCTGCGATGAAAAACTCGAAGAGCGGCAAGAGAACTCGAAAGCAAAGCCAGAAATCGGAAACCCTAGACATCAGGGGATTTCTGGTATTTATAGTGGAGGCACCCCCGGGGGGACGAATGAAGAAGCGACACGTGGCGAGGAGCGTACCCTGGCGGGAATCCAACCTGGGGAAGCGATACGCGTAATGATGACTTCCCATCGGGAGTCGCACCGTCTCGCCGCCAGCCGCCACCTCGATCCACCCGCGGTCGCCCAACTCGGGGTGCCCTTCGATCAGGTACGTCCAGTTCCCCGTGGACAAGTACGGAAGACGGGCATCCTCCAGGAGGCACAGCATACTTCCTTATGTCCCACGCACGCTTGGAACATCAGAAGTGGGGGACTTGTGTTGGGTAAATAGCCCCGAACAGGAGTCCGGCCCATTTACCCCCGAACCGACGTACGTCGCCCAGCCCGCGGATGGCCCTGGCCTGAAGGAATGGGGACGAATGTCTATCTCCGGGGTAACAGCACAAGGTCCCGGCCGAGGGTCGGTTAGCACATCCGTGACGAACGTCGTCAGACGAGGCCCATCTCCGTAGATGGCCCAGGGCCCAAAAGATTGTTACGTTCTCAGGAAGGGCCGCAGACGAACGGCCCCCGGTTCTACCAGACGATCGTGGTCAGGAATTAGGCGGGGAACCCAGATTCTGGCGGGAAGCGCATTTAATGCTGGAGATTTGGTGGTTGGGCCACAGCCACTAACAATCCTCCACATCATCAAGACTAACTGCCCATTGGCGGGTATAAATAGTAGCATTTATTTCATTGTAAGGGGTTGGCAACTTTCTATTCTTAGCATACTAGCTCCAGCGTTCTTACTCGCAGCATTTCTAAGTGCCTTGTAAGACGAGCGGCCGACGTGCCTTTTTAGCAAGTAGATTGTACTTAGGGGAGTTATTACGAAGTTAATAATACCTATTTACATTGCCTGCTATTACTTTTGTTTCCCTGATCCATCTGATAGTTGTTGGGCTAGATATCCACTCACTCCACTCGAAATCTTTGGGCTTACGTGTTGGGTCCAAGGATTGAAGGAATAAACTTCAACACATATCAAGTATGCGCTAAAAATAAAAAGACTACACCTAGACAGTCCATCAAAATAACTTAATTGACAATTTTCTCTAAACACTAAAGGGGTGTTTACAAAAAATTAAGAAAAGCGTTTTTTATCATTTGGCTTGAAAAAAGCTGAAATTGGTATTTTAGAGTGACGACTTCTGCCTAAATTAATAACTTAAAAGCTAAAAGCAGGAAGTAAGTTAAAAAGTGCTTTTAACCGCTTTTCACTTCTTCTATTACACAAAAGCACTTCTTTTTATCAAACACTACCAACATTTACTTTTTCATAATCATTTTTTCTCAAACACTACCAACTTTTACTAATAAACATTTTTCCCAAAATCTTTTTAAAAAATCGTTTTTAAAAGTAGAAGCAACCGCAAACACTCCCTCAGTAGCATATTTGTTGGTCAAATCAATGAAAGATACATATATAGTATTTCATAATTCAAGTTTAACTATATATTTTTTAAACAAAAGAAATTGTTTTAAATAGGGCTAAAGGCGCAAATAGGATTACTTGTGTTTTATTCCTAAGATATGACTTATTTGATACTCCTTTAGTCCATCGGTATTGAAATATAATGTTCTTTACACTTCCCTTTGTGAGTGTATTTTAATTGTTTCTACACTTTCTCTTTTTGATAAGTTTTCTTTTTTAAAATACTCAATTGTCCTTATTTTTATACTTTTTATCTTCTCTTTTATATTTCTCCACTCTCTCTTTACTTTTCTACTGAATCTACACTACTCATTATCAGACTACTTTTCTCTTAAATATTGTGTCACATCTTATTGTAGCACATTTATAATGCAAAAGGAGTATTTTATTATTATTAAAAATATAAAACTTCTTCAATAAGAGTGAACAACTCCTGCCAAGCACGTTGTGTAGGGGTGGAGGCAGGGATGGCAATGGGGCGGATCGGGGACGGTTTGACATATAACCGTACCCGCCCCGTTGGGTAATTCCCCTGCCCCGTAACCACCCCGTTACCCAATGGGTAATTTTTTCTCAAACCATAACCGCCCCAACGGGTAACGGGTATAACCGTGAGTAATCATTTTATTAAATGAGTCATTAATATTTTAATATAATAAAATACGGAGTAGTATTTTAAAAGGCAAAAAATGGCACTGCCTTGACGACTTTAGATTCAGATGTCACTTTGAAGTTTCGTATGGCTACAAGACGAGAAAGAAGACCATCTAAATTAATTTGAATCTAAAAATAATACTTAATCTCAAAATAATTAATCACGAAAACATCTGATAGTAACCAAACAAGACTATTAAAATCTATTATGAACTTCCATACATATATTATAGTTTTTTTTTACTGAATTCATACATTATAGTTAATACATCTATTATCCATGTATACACAATGAAAATAGAAAAATATCATCTTTTAGTAGTTATGGGACAAATAATAAATACAAATGTAATAAAAATATAACTAAAAACAAACGGGGCGGGTAATGGGGCGAGCATGTATAAAACTGTAACCGCCCCGCTACCCGTAAAAACAAAACGGGTATTCTCCCCCATACCCGTTACCCCGGTCAATGCGGTTTTCCCCGCTTTGACCGGGGCGGTTCGGTTCGGATATCCATCGGATCGGTCACAATTGCCATCCCTAGGTGGAGCTAGAGGCACATCAACCTAGGCAGGGGCGGCTTGAGCCGTTTGGAGGCCCTATACATAAAATACTTAATACTTCATTTTTTTAGTGAACAACTCCTGCCAAGCACGTTGTGTAGGGGTGGAGGCAGGGATGGCAATGGGGCGGATCGGGGACGGTTTGACATATAACCGTACCCGCCCCGTTGGGTAATTCCCCCGCCCCGTTACCCAACGGGTAATTTTTTCTCAAACCATAACCGCCCCAATGGGTAACGGGTATAACCGTGAGTAATCATTTTATTAAATGAGTCATTAATATTTTAATATAATAAAATACGGAGTAGTATTTTAAAAGGCAAAAAATGGCACTGCCTTGATGACTTTAGATTCAGATGTCACTTTGAAGTTTTGTATGGCTACAAGACGAGAAAGAAGACAATCTAAATTAATTTGAATCTAAAAATAATACTTAATCTCAGAATAATTAATCGCGAAAACATCTGATAGTAACCAAACAAGACTATTAAAATCTATTATGAACTTCCATTCATACATTATAGTTTTTTTACTGAATTCATACATTATAGTTAATACATCTATTATCCATGTATACACAAAGACAATAGAAAAATATCATCTTTTAGTAGTTATGGGACAAATAATAAATACAAATGTAATAAAAATATAACTAAAAATAAACGGGGCGGGTAATGGGGCGAGCATGTATAAAACCGTAACCGCCCCGTTACCCGTAAAAACAAAACGGGTATTCTCCCCCATACCCGTTACCCGGTCAATGCGGTTTTCCCCGTTTTGACCGGGGCAGTTCGGTTCGATTCGGATATCCATCGGATCGGTCACAATATCCATCCCTAGGTGGAGCTAGAGGCACATCAACCTAGTTACCTAGGCCCTGATCACCCAAATTTAAAAAACGTTAAACTTTTAAGGTAAAAATTCTGTGTATTTTTTCCCAATATTCTATGTACTGGCACATTTCGGCTCATAGCTCTGACTCTGCCACTGGCTCGTAGTTCTATTATATCACTATGACACTTCTAAGGAAAAAGTCACCAAGTTAATATTCACCACAATTTAAAGATGTTGATATTTAATTATGAACAAATACTACAATAGAAGAAGTGTGAGTATATAAAAAAATGAATAACTCTTATTTTAAAATGAAAATACTTTGTAACCGGAAATGTTCAGGTCCCCACGTTCGGACAGGAGCCTCCGTCCGAACATAGCCATTTGGGGCCTTTTCCGGTGGAATGTGGAATGTTTAGATTAAATTTTTTGAGCATGTTCCTCACTAAGTCTAGTTTGTCCATACCAAATTTCAGCTCAAAATTCGATCGGGAAGACATTCAAATCATTTTTTGAAGTTGACTGCGTTTTTATATGTATATTTTGACACAGTCAACTTCAAAAAATGATTTGAATGCCTTCCCGATCGAATTTTGAGCTGAAATTTGGTATGGACAAACTAGACTTGATGAGGTACATGCTCAAAAAGTTTGATAAAAAAATTCCATCGGGAAGTGGTCCAAACGTCCATGGCCTCACTTTGTAACAATAGTCATGCTTTGTGCACGGCACTTGTACAAGTCATTGTATATGCAGGTCAAATTGCGTATGTACAGATAATTTTTTCGATTTTCGCATAGACAATTTTGAACATTATACTTTTACCCACGTTAAATCAGTTATTGGAGTATACGGAGTATTTCCTTTCCTTCCCCGTCTCCATTTTCACAAAGCCTTCTTCATTCCTTCCCCTCCCGCACTCAGCGGTCCCGGCCACCGTTCACCGCCCATCTCCTCGGAATTCATCATGACGAAATCATCTCCACTCGTATTCCTCTTCCTCCTCTCGATCATATCCATCGCCACCGCTGAGATCAAGACGCTGAAGATCATTTCCGACTCTCGGCCAATGATTTTGTTCGAACGGTTCGGATTCACCCGCACGGGCCGCGCCACCATCAGCGTTTCATCGGTTTCCGTCTCATCCGCCATCTCCACACCGGAACCGTCTCAGCTCGGATTCTTCCTCCTCTCCGAAGAATCGCTCCTCCAAGTCCTCATCGAGCTCCAGCAGAACGAGGCGTTTTGCGTTTTGGACTCCAATTATATAAATCTCCTCTTCACCTTCCGCGACCTCTCTCCGCCGCCCGCCTCCTCCTTCAATCGCTCATATCCGATTACTTTTCCCGATGAATACTCACTTTTCTTCGCCAATTGCGCACCCCAATCGAAGGTCTCCATGGACGTCCGCACCGAGCTCTACAACCTCGACAGTCTAGGGCAGGTCAAGGACTACCTCTCCGCTGGTCTAACCCAAATCCCAGCCCTATACTTCATCTTCTCGCTAATTTATTTCGGATTCACGGCCCTATGGGTCTACATCTGCTGCGGGAACAGGGGATCGGTGCATAGAATTCATCTGTTAATGGCGGTTCTGCTTATCACAAAAGCCCTAAATTTACTCTTCGCGGCTGAGGACAAACATTACGTCAAGGTCACGGGAACCTCCCACGGCTGGGATGTATTATTCTACATTTTCCAGTTCATTCGTGTGGTTTTGCTCTTCACTGTTATCATCTTGATAGGTACAGGGTGGTCGTTTCTGAAGCCATTTTTGCAGGAGAGGGAAAAGAAGGTGTTGATGATTGTGATTCCTCTCCAGGTTCTGGCTAACATAGCATCTGTTGTGATTGGAGAAACCGGCCCCTTTATCAGAGATTGGGTTACTTGGAATCAAGTGTTCTTGATCGTCGACATAGTTTGTTGCTGTGCAATTATCTTCCCCATCGTTTGGTCGATTAGGTCATTGAGAGAGACATCAAAGACGGACGGTAAAGCAGCTAGGAACTTGGCAAAGCTGACCCTTTTCAGGCAATTCTACACTGTTGTGATTGGGTACCTTTACTTCACGAGGTTTGTAGTGTTTGCCTTGCAGACAATTGCTGCTTATAAGTACCAGTGGGTTGCAAATGCTGCCAAGGAGATTGCCAACTTGGCATTCTACATCATCATGTTTTACATGTTTAGGCCTGTTGAGAAGAATGAATACTTTGTTATTGATGATGAGGATGAAGAGGCTGCGGAGATGGCTCTTCGTAGTGAGGAATTTGAGATTTGAAATTGAAACCTCACACTACACCTCTCTATAAGTCTCAACATAACCATACATATGCACAATGAGTTGTTATTGACTATAGTTCTAGTGTATACAAGTAGCTAGATTTGTTTTATTATCCTCTCATATTTGGGAACCTATTTGTAGCTGATAAAATCAAACAGGAGTTCAGTTTTGGATAATGGAACTTCTTGCAGTCTGTCTGTATGTGCTTTACTGAAGTTATGTTGTTAATAAATCTTTGATGGCCTAAGGTAGAGTTATGTGCATGCTTGGTTGCTTATTGATCAACTTCCATTTAGTAATCAGCTATAAGTATGTACTTTTCATAACATAAAATTTCTTGAACTCCATAAGAACTTATTACAATAAAAGATGAACATTTAAATCAAAACAACATCAGAATGCTGGTACTGCAAGTAAGAGACGTTAGTTCTTTTGAGTAAAAGACGCTAGTAAGAATATCTAGCTGGGGCAAATATTAGGATAGTGTCATTGGGGATTGAAAGGGGTATTCTGTATGGCATTTATGTGATTTTCAATTTTAGAACTTGTATAATCACATTTTTGGAAACACAAAAAATTCAATCTTAGTAATATTGGTGGAAAGAATCATGCTTGGTTACCCCAAATTGTATACTACTTGTGTACACAGCCATTTGGATGGACAGAAAATCTGCCGTTTTTAAGACGAATTGCCTATGTACAACTAGGTGTTAGGTGAAATTGGTAACCTATAGCATTTTTGTGGTGTAAAAACCCTCTACTTTACACGAGTTTCTTTATATCCATACTTTTTAAAGTTTTGAGTGCTCACGTGCACACATTATTAACCGGAGCTCTGCCCCTGGTGCCAATACCCACCAACTTGATAGTTGATATACCTACAAAATTGAGTTACATGCTTTTTATGATTTACCATTGTACTCTCTTCGTCTCATTTTTGTTGTCCTACTTTCCTTTTTGGATTATCCCAAAATGAATGTCTTGTTTCCTTTTTTGGTAAGAAATATGTGGTTCTTATCATTTCAATTTATTCTACTCAAATCCCAACAACTTTTATTTTTTCAACCACTTTATTAATAATCGTGCCAAATTGAAAGTGGACAACCAATATGGAACAGATGTAGTACTTGATAGTTAATCTTACGGGGCCCCGGTTGTCCTAAGTTAGAGCATACAATTTCTTGATGTTTAGAAAAAAAAATTGATTGATTTATATCCAATTTGATACGCAAATTTGTTTCACACTGCAAACCTTTTTTTGGAAGAATCACACTGCAAACCTTAGAAACTACGGAGTAGTAATAATCAGTGTGATTTTAAAGCCAATTTCGAATGATTATTTTTTAGTTCTGAACTATCTTTAGTGGTCTTTTGTAATGTTGTGTTATAATTGTTAAAAGTATCGTTTATAAAATATGTTCCTGAGTTCATTATGTTTGAAATATATTTAGTAGATTGTAATACAATTAATTTATTGCTAATTTTGTATATTCTGTTACTGTATTTTTGCTGCGAAGATAGGGGTTCAAAGGGCAAAGTCAATTAAAAAAACGAGTTTATACGACCTTTTGCTGATTTTATGGGTATTGTCATGGATTTATTCTCAAGACCGGTGCGACACTAAGAACGTTCACTCAAACTTAATTATATTAGTCAGCCTAACTCTGTGGAAACGAGGACACCGAACTTGGCTAGAGATTAACTTTAAGCAAGATTGTATGTGGAGAAACTCGTATAAAGTCTTTGTGTAGCTCTAAATGTTCCGATTATACAAATGAGCCAACCTTGAGGGTATTTATACTTATCCTCTTCCTCAATGGATGATCTAGATCTACTTGATCTAACGACTATGATTTACTTCTAGAGTATCTTATAGACTTATACAACTCTATCATATTCCAGAGTATTCTAATATACTCTATACACGTATACATTAGGGGTGTGCATAAAAATCCGCAATCGCTTAACCGTGGTAAATAACCGAAAACCCGGTGTTTTTTTGTTAATCATACCGTGTTTTTAGAGACTTGTGGTACGGTTAACCAACCGAAATAATAAAGCGGTTCGCAGTACGGTTATGATTTTGAAATTAAATACCGCCAGTTAACCGACAATGCAAAGTTAAAATATTATTCCAAATTCATATCACAATCAACCTTTAGCCCAAAGTGCCCAAAGTGTTTTCTCCATATGATTTACTGGAAATAAATACCGATTCTACATTTCTACGTGACTAACTGAGTCAGGTAGTGGATATGTAAAAAAAAAACTGAGTCAGGTAGTGGATATGTACAAGAATTGCTAAAAGAATTAATAATTGGAAAATACAAATGCACTTTTGTACGTATTAATTGCTAAACGAACAATAATAAGCAAGCCTTTGGATCGATCATCGTGTGCATGGTTTATTGTATACGGGAGAGCTGCTACCCAGTTTGCTTTTCTCTCGATATATATAAAGTATAAATGATGAAACCAGGTTATAAGAGTCTCTTAACTCGGACGCTTTTTTGGTTAACCGATTAATGGTTAACCTATATCAGTATATCACGATTAAATATTATTCGGTTAACCATCATTACGGTATGGTTAATGATAGTGTAAATATATAGAACGCAATTTCTATAAACCAAGAATTTGTTAACCAAAATACGGTTAACCAACCATGCCCACCCCTAATATACATGTCTCTACACTTAAGTAAACGAGTCTAGATGATTCTTTTAGCCCCTGGAATTCCGTCTCTTTCTCTTAGGAAGCTCTAAGCTCTAGACTTCTAGATTCAATGCCGTGGCATTATGCAACATTTGGGGAGACTCGTGACAGTATGCAGGTAAAAACCAAACCTAATATTTGTTTGAAGGCATGACTTATACTACGTATGATATTATGATGACTTTGTTTTAACCATTATCTAGGCAATAAAAATTTCTTTAAAAAGGCTCTGTTTTAAAAATCTCTCAATTTTTTTTATACATCGGAGGGGAGCTCTCATTTTTCTGCATCGAAATCTTATCGTCCCTCAATTTACAAGGGGTGTCGAGAGTTTTCCTCCATCAATATTACACTAAATCAAAACTACGTAGTATAAATTTCAAGACTATAATTAATTAATTATAATACTCCCTCCATCACATAAAATATTACTGGGTATCAACTTTCTTTATTTTACGTCCCATAGACTTTGTCATTTCTGGTGAAAACTGAATCACTTTATGTGAAAGTAATTGGATGACAAAAAACACAAAATATTACTGGGTATCAACTTTCTTTATTTTAAGTCCCATAGACTTTGTCATTTTTGGTGAAAACTGAATCACTTTATGTGAAAGTAATTGGATGACCAAAAATAAAGAAGCCGTTTGGTAAAACTGTTTTTCAGCTTATCAGCAAACTTTTTCATTAAACGCGTAACTTTTGTTTTCGCGTTCTAAATTGTGTAATAATAAGAAAAGTAAGGTTATAATTACTTTTCTGGTTGTATTGGCTAAAGTTACTATAGATTAGGGATGGACCCGGGCCGGGCCGGTTCCGGTTCCGGGCCGGGCCCGGGCGGGCTTTTTTTCGGGTTACATGGGCCCGGAACCGGCCCGGGTTGATACCGGGTCCGGGCCTAACCGGGCCGGGCCGGGCCGGGCCCGGTTCAATGTTTTTTTTTTTTTTTTTTTTTTTTGACTTTCTTGTTATCTCCCTACCCCCCCCCCCCCTCACCCCCACGCCCCAAACCTCCCTAAAACACCCAGCCCTACCCTAGGAAAAGAAAAAAAATTGAAAAAACCAAAAAAAAAAAAAAAATGAACCGGGCCCGGCCCGAACCGCCCGGGCCGGTTCAACAAAAACAGGGCCCGGAACCGGCCCGCCCGACCCGCCAAAACGGGCTAAAAGCCCGGAACCGGCCAACCGGGCCCGGTCCGGTTCGGGCCCGCACAGTAGCGGGCCGGTCCGGTTCCGGGCCGGTTCGGCCCGGCCCAGTCCATCCCTACTATAGATGATCATTTTATCTATTTTTACTTATAATTTTTTCATTATTTTATTAATAAAATATATTTTAAAAATAATTTTTTCTTAAATCAACATAATTAGCCAATATAGACATTTCAACCAAAACTACATAAATTTCAACAGAATCAGCTGAATAAGCCGATTTTCGTGTTACCAAACAGGCTCTAATATTCTACATAAACCCAACTTTGTTAAAAATCAAACTATGGCTTGTTTAATAACTTCCCTTATGTGACTGGGAATTACGGATGGACCTGGAACTCTGGAAGGACATGAGATGATAACAAATGGACAATTGTAAGCTTCGTTGAAAAAGTATAAGGCAATATGGAATAAGCTCATACTTATTGGGACCAAAGTGGATTTTTACCTTGCAGCAACAATATGTTCTATAGCAAAGTTGGGTTCGAGACTCAACAAATAGCAAGACATACTCTCAGCAAATCACATCAGGTTACAAACTTAAATTACTGCCTGCACATGACATTATTGGTGGTGTAATTTTCAAAATACACAAAAGAAAAGGTTATAGGGGCAATCCATCCTGTGATGCTAGCAAGGTATAGAGATAGAAAGTAGTTCTTTCACTCTGAGGTGTAACCCTACTGAGCATTCTTTACACACCAACCGCTTATTGAAGTTCAAGTTTGGCCATCCAGTAATCAAGTTGACTAGAGACACATTCAGAACCAGTCGAGCCGTAAGAGCTGAACTTCTTTATCGCATTCTCAGCTCCAAGAAACTCATATACGTCCTTGTCAAACACTGGGCTAATGTTGTTCAGCTCATCAAGGCTAAGATCTTGAAGCTGTGAATTTCTAGACACGCACAATGCAACAGCCCTCCCGACTATGTCATGTGATGTCCTGAAAGGAATCCCCTGTAGAAATTGGGAATTATGCGTGTTAATCATATCATTAAGGCTATGTTTGGAACCTCAAAAATGATGCAAGGAAAAATGATTTTTTTCATGTTTTCTCTCACTTGGACAATACAGATTTAAGTATTTTTAAACTGTATGTTATTCAGCTTTATTCGCCTTTAAATAGAGGTGGTTTGATAAGGCTTCAATGGCTACAGTAGCAAACTTCTGGATGAGAGGGTGTATATAAATAATCATCTAAAGAATTGTTAAAAGTATATGGAAATAAACTAAAGAAAATAATATCTAAAAATAAAGTAGAAGTATCAATTTCAGCAAAAAGAGTAACGTCTGAAGAATTGACACATTCAAAATGAAGTCATTCATACGATTTTGTGAGGGCCAACACCGAAAC